CGTGAAGGCACTGTTCGGTGCGCCAGCTGCTGGGGGGTTGTCGCCTGTCACCAACCTGACGGTCACCATGGACCAGCTGCGGGGGCTGGGCAGGTGAGGAGGGACTGGCGAACGGTGTCCCGGACCGCTGACCTCTTGGTCGGCCCTCGGGAATATCGGACTAAGAAACGGGCTGGGAGAGGGGCGAGACCTGCCTGTACGAGTTCTCCGCTCAGGGGCAGCCGGGCTGGGGCCCGCCATGTGCACACTCCCCCCGGGCGGAATGTTGGGCGGGAGAGGCCGTTCGGACCCTCTAGGGCTGCCCTCAACCCGAACCAGGCCCAGTAGAGGGGGGGGGGCCCGGCTCCCCACCTTTGCCGCCACTTTCGGATTGCCCTGTACTCTCTTGCCCCCCTATCCCTTGAAGTTCTTTGGAATCAACCCCCCGCCCCCTCCACGGGGGGAAAGAAAGCCCTCCTTGGCGCTCACTTCCATCCTTTGCTGAACTCTCGAAGTATCTTAATTTCCTGTTAGCTTTGTTCCTCCTTAACAAAGGGACGTGGCATTTACTTTCCTGGTGATTGTGCAAAATCATCGCGATCCCTCGTGCTGTGCACATTCCTGATGTCCACACCGCTGCTTTCCAGAGGCTTTTTACTCAACTTTGTACATTGGAAAGCTCCCTGGACTTTTTATAGCAAAAATGCATCCGACAGTGTTTCTGATGAAGCTGCTTTTACTTCAATCTTAGGCATCTCATTTTCTAAGCACATGTGTTGTGCGTTTTCCAACCTCTGAAAAGCAGGAACTCCGTCCAACTCATCTTTCATCCCTACTTCTAGTACAGTCCCTAGAACACGTGCCCTCATTTCAGGAAATACCCCAACATTGCCATAGTCATCATATCCTACAATGTGGCCCAAGGGCCATGCTCACTTGCTTTTTTATCTCTGATCAAGTAACAACAGGGTGTTGTGAGTGGCAAAATGGGATCTGTGGTGTGGCCTAAAGGCGATGATGGTCCATGGCATCCTGGCTACTTGTTAACCTTATGGCTTGCCTCCTGTATGTGGCCTTTCAATTATGCCGTAGAAATTGCTCATATGAAATTATTACTCTTGGTTTCAGTGAGTATGAGCAGCCACTGGAGGTGAGAAACAACAGCAGTCTGCAGAGAATGGGTTCCTCCGAGTCAACCGATTCAGGTATTCTTTCAGTCTTCACCATGTATCCTGCATCTGTTGTGTGGGAAGCAATACTGGAATTTCCTGAAACATGTTCTTTCACCCAGGCACTTGGTTTTGGTAAATAGTTGAGATAGTACAGAGAGAAATCATGGCAGTGAGTGACACACTTAAAAACAGAACAGAGGAGCCTCCTTGGCAGTTTATGAAGAGAGAAAACAAGTGTATGCAAGGAGGTGCTGTGTGCTTGCTCTTGAAGGAGAAACAGTAGAGTAAAATTTACCAAACCACTGTAAGTGGCATTCAGAAAATGTTATTGGTTAAAATATGGAGCCAAATTACTGGAAGTATAAATGAAATAATTTCAGTGGTCCTGCTATGCGTGTCATTCTATTTCATAAATTCATGTTACTGCAAGGTACGTCTGTATTTGCACAGATAAGAGTATTTGGGGCACAGATGCTTTAGGTTAGAGAGCTATAAGAGCAAAAGTCTTAAAATGTAATGTTAGCTTCTTAAGAACTGGAGACGTGATTCTCATTTGTGGCAGTGTGGCAAGCAGGAATATCAGTCAAGAGCTAACTTTCTGTAGAGCTACACAGACATTACGGAGAGTTGTGAGCTAGGCAGGCACTAGTGGGTCTGGGCCGTTCTCTGAGCTGGTATATAAGTAATGCCGAACATTGTCTCCTCCACCCTGCTGCCTTGGTGTCATTTTGTTAAAAGCAACAAATACTTGCCTTGCATGTTATATGACTAATAGTTGTATTCTTCATACCCCAGAATTACACATATGATTGGCAAAGTAAAATATTTTAAATCAAAACTATTCAGGAAATGCTGGTTCTTTCTATGGTTGGAACTCACAGAAAGTTATCTGGGTCACCTCCATTTGGATAACCAAGCAATCATGATATGAATCAGTTTAATTCACCCTCTCTACAAATCCTATTTCCCTTGATGGTATTTGCAAGTAGGAGAAAGGGATTAGTAAATATACTATAAAAATATTGAGACGTGCAAATATGAAGTTTTTGAGAATCATATAGAGACTTGACTTCAATTCTGGCAAAAGTATAAGTCTGTTGACTGACAAAGAAATATTACTGTCTTTATTTCAATGACAAAATGGTGTTTTGTTTATTATTTCCTAAGAGATTTTTCTTTAATTTCTGATAGGTTTCTGTCTGGATTCTCCTGGGCCTTTGGACAGTAAAGAGAAGTATGTATTCACTGCTCTTTTCTTAATTTTCTTTTTCATTTCTTTTTTTTTAAAAAAAAGATAACCAGTAAGGGGATCTTAACCCTTGACTTGGTGTTGTCAGCACTATGCTCTCCCAAGTGGGCTAACTGGCCATCCCTATATAGAGATCCGAACCCATGGCCTTGGTGTTAAATCAGTACCACACTCTCCCAAGTGAGCCATGGACCAGCCCTCTTTTCTTAATTTTCAAATTAAGTCCTTTATACTCTAGATTGGAACCCTGGGTTTAGTTGTTCCTGGTAAGACTTCTGGATCTCAGAAACACTTCAGTATCTTAAAAATGAGTAGTGTTTGAACTTCCCCCTCCTTTATTTTAGCTGTAATTTTGGTGTTCTGTTCCGGTCTCACCCAAATACTTGCTCCACCCTCTGACATCATAGCTGTGTACTGGGTTTACTTTTTTAACCTAGAAGTCTAGTGTTGGAGGTGCTCCTAGTATACAGGATGGCTTCAGAAATTTGTTCTTCCATCTCTTGCCTAAAATGGGAGTCCGTTTGCCTCCACGCTGGCCAAACTGCAGGCTAAACACTATGCATCTGCTAATATGAATACCTCTTACTTGCTTTATTCTCATTTACCTTCTGATCTCATTACAGCCTTGAAAATCCTATGAGGAGAATAAATTCCCTACCTGTAAGTTAGTTCCCTTGTTTATTTTGAGGTAATATCTGTTATCTGCCCCCTAGTTACCAGTGTGACCTTGATAGGGAGACCTTAATTTAGAGTGAAAAATACTTTCCCTTAGTCTCATAAGCACTCAAGACACTGTCTAGAGCAGCTTCAACAATGGCTGCCTCTGGATGACTTTGTCCTCTATCTCTGTCAGAGTTTATCAAACAAAGGAAAGGTTCTTTTTACGCAAATGTTATTTGGGGGTTGATTTGGCACTATAATCCCTGCTGAGAGGAGGCCTGTAAACTTTTTGAAGTTAGATGTAATGACACATAGTGGGAACTTCTGTCCTGTGTTCTGGCAAGGTGAAGGGCTGACCATGTTTACTGGTTACGTGTGAGGAGCTAGCACCACTGACACTCCCCCCACCTCCCTTTTTTTTTTTTTTTTTTTTTTTTTTTTGAAATTAATTTTTTTTTTTTTTTCTTTATTTTTTTTTTTTTTTTTTTTTTTTCCTGTGTTCTGGCAAGGTGAAGGGCTGACCATGTTTACTGGTTACGTGTGAGGAGCTAGCACCACTGACACTCCCCCCACCTCCCTTTTTTTTTTTTTTTTTTTTTTTGAGAACTGAATTTTTATTTATGTACCTTAATTATTTCCTTTTTTTTTTTTTCTCATTGGTAGCAGAAGCTTTTGGGATGTAGCCCAGCTCTGAAGAGGAGCCATTCTGATTCTATTGACCATGACATCTTTCAGCTCATTGACCAGGATGAGAACAAGGAAAATGTGAGTAACATCGATGTACCAATCCAAGGCAGAGGTGAAATCTGCAGTTGCCAATGGATTACAGAGAAGTGGCTGGGCTGCTTTCTGAGAGCCTAAACCTTGGCCAAAGTCATGCCTGGTCTTTGGAGTCAGAAATCTGGGTTTAAATCCTGATTCTTACTAGCTGTGTGAACATGACAAGCTACTTCTCTTTTTAGGCTTGTTTCTTTTGTAAAATAGGAGTAGCAATATGTTTTAGGCTGTTTGGGGAATTAATTAAGATTGTGTATATAAAGCATTTAAAAAGGTGCTTGGCAGGTAGGAATTGCTCGATGGTAACTCTTGTGAGTAACTATATCCATGAATAGTTTATCTGGAAGAGCGTGCAAGGCCTTCCTTGCCTCTTTGCTCTGACCCTGGGATGAGTTATAAGCTCAGAAAAAGAATTCTTGGCAGTATTTGAAAGAATGGGGCTAAGAAATTCTAGGGAGTCTCGGAGTAACTGAAATGGTGGCTTAGAGGGTTAACTTGCAGTTGTCTGTCCAAAAGTTCAAGTACATCCTGGCCTGGTTTTGCTCTTAGACCTGACAAGATGCCTTGCTCAGAGTAGACATACAAAACAGTTGAATTAATTAGCTTAACTTCTCCAGCCTTCTCTCTCACCATATTTCCATGTATTTATTTTCTCTACTTTTCCATTCCCTGCTAAAATGCCACAGTTCATAATCCTTATAAACTTCCAAAATTCACGTAAAACTTACTGCCTCCATGAACTCAATGATTTGTTTGGCAACTTGGGAGATTTCATGAGAGAGAATATGGAAATGAGTTCCTCCCTTCAGTGCTTGGAGCAGTGCATCGGCCTCTGTAGTTTTTTCTATCAGGCCAAAGGTGTACCAACGCCTGGTTCTCCACTTAACATGGCTTTTTTCAGGGTTGCCTGCCTGGAGCTTTGTTCAAAAGGGAAAACAGCATAGGTGGTGGTTAAAAAGATCTTACTCTGGAGTCATCCTGCCTGGCTTTGATATTTTGGGCACATTACTTAACCTGTAAGACCTAGTTACCTCATCTGTAAAATGGGGACAGTCAGGTTGTACTTGATGGTTAAACAAGTTAATGCACAAAGAGTACTTAGTACTGTGTTATCTTTTTTTTTTTTTTTTTAAAGATGACCGGTAAGGAGATCTTAACCCTTAACTTGGTGTTGTCAGCACCATGCTCACCCAGTGAGCTAACTGGCCATCCCTATATGGGATCCTAACCCGTGGCCTTGGTGTTATCAGCACCACGCTCTCCCGTGTGAGCCACGGGCCAGCCCAGTACTGTGTTATCTAAATAACTCTGTATTATTACCTGTTACTGCTTTTAGTGCCTAATAACAAGTTCTTAAGTAGATATTTTAGGGTATGGGCCATGTTTTGAACTTCTAAGTAAGTGGCTGGCTGGTACAGGGATCCAAACCCTTGACCTTGGGGTCATAACACCACGTTTTAATCAACTGAGCTAACCAGCCAGCCACAGTATGTATTCTGTCACATCTGGCTTTCACTCAACGTTGTGTTTCTGAGAATTATCCATGTTGAATAAACCAGTAGGAGGGGTTTTTTTTCCCTTCCAGTGCTTTCAGTATAGAATACAATAATTTAACTGGGGAATAATAGTCTCCTTTTGGTAAGAAGAGATAGAAAATATGAAGCTAAACAGATATAAATCTAAATAGTTTTGATTCCTTTTCACAGGCAATTATATGATAATGACATTGTTTTAGATTTTAGAAAGTTTATGATTTAGCTTATCACTCATGGTTTGTCTACTTGGCAGGTACTCATGCGTGTGTTAGGAAATAAAGTACAAGAAAAGAAAAGGCTGCTTTAGAAGGTAGCTGTTGACAGATCCTTGGAAATTCTTACACAATTACACAGATCCAGGGCTGGAATTAGATCAGTAATATGTGAACCCTTCATTTGGAAACAGTTACAAAGGTGATCAGTGCCCACACCCTTACCTATGTCACCCAAGTTACAGCTGAGGCCCTAGAGCTGGTTTTCGAGGACAGTAGAAGGTATTTCAACATACTGTCTTGCAGGAAGCCTTTGAGTTTAAGAAGCCAATAAGACCTGCATCTCGTGGCTGCCTGCACTCTCATGGACTTGAGGAGGGTAAAGATCTCTTCACACAGAGGCAGAATTCTGCCCCAGCTCAGATGGTATGTGTTTTGGCTTTCATAGGGGAGTTCTTGACTGGAAGAGAGGATTAAAGCACCCTCTTTAACCCACAGTTGAAGACACTACAGTAGCTCTAGCTGTCTTTACCTTGACTTTGCCTTTTTTTTTTTTTTTTTTGCTCAGTGGCCGGTCCGTACAGGGATCAAACCCTGGACCTTGGTGTTACCAGCACCACACTCTAATCCACTGAGATAACCGGCCAGCCCTTACTTTGCCTTTTTCTGCAATGGGTTTTGGGGGCCACATTTCCTCCTTCCTTTATCCCTCACCAAGATAAACACACCTATTCCCACCCCCAAGCAGCACAGTCCTAAAAGTGCAGCTGGCGAGGCTAGCTGGATTCCATGGAAGAGAGCAGCCAGGCACTGGGCGGCCTTGGCTCTGCTGCAGAGGGGCCAGCCTGCTTTCACCATCTCCAGGGTGAGGATGCCCTGAACCAGTGTCTACTCGCTCCCCAACAAGTTCAGGGCTTAGAGTTCAGGTAATTAGGCCCTTGGCAATCTCACCTAATCCTGCCAATAAAACTGAGACAAACAGCCTCAGCCCCTCTTCAGGTGGGAGAGAGGAAACAAGGAGGGAGGGAGGGAAAACTTTTTTTTCCACCCCTGCCCCGCCCCCAAGATTGTTCCTTCCTGCCACAAAACCCTGGCCTTCATCTGCCGACATCATCCAGGGTGACACTGGACATCTGTGCAGGTTGCAACCTG